TTTTGAAGCAATTTTTCTTTTCCTGGTCACTAATTGCAATCTTATCTTCTATATCTGAAATTCTGTCCTCACATTGGCTTATTCTTCTGTATAGACTTTCAGTGGAGTTTTTTTTTTCAAACAGTCTGTTAATTTCTGTTGGAGATATCCTTGCTGGAGTACTTGGTGCTTCTGCTTGTTTGTACTGGCTGCCCTCTAGGTTTGCTATAGTTTTGCTATGGTATTGCCTATAACCCTCTTAGGAATTCTTTTCTCCTTCTGTGTTGTACCTGTTTCCTTTTCCTCTCTTGGTCTATTCTTTTTATGTAAATGACTCCAATAGCTTCATGAGAAATTTTCCATGAGGCAAAATCTTTCAGATTTTTTTTTGTATGGGATATCTTTACTACACTCATACTTGATTGCTAGTTTGGTTAGTAATCCTTTTTTATCTGTGGGGGATTGTTTCAGCCACCCCCTTGAATCCCAAAAGCTGTTGCGGTTCCAGTTCCTTGTATAAAATGCAGTAGTATTTGCAAACTATGCACATCCTCCCATATACTTTAAATCATCTCTAGGTAACTTAAATACCTAATATTGATGCCATATAAAAAGTTGTTACACTGTACCATTTGGGGAATAATGACAAGGAAAAAAACTTGTATATGTTCAGTATAGATAGAAATTTTTGTCTAATATTTTCAACCTTTGGATACAGGGGCTGACTATATAGAATTTTGCCTGAATATCATTTTATCAGACCTGAAGGCATTGTTTCATTGTCACTGTTGAGTCTAATGCCATTCTGATTCTTTTATAATCTTCATAATTTTTCCTTTCTATCACTTTTCTGTCATTTTAATGCATTTTGGGGGAAAAGCAGAAGTGAGATTTGAAAAGGCCATTTTTAACCAGAAATTCTGTTCTGGGCATTATATAGGCAAGATATGTATTTTACCTTTATGGATGAAGAAATAGTTAAAAGTCTTGGACACACTCACAGAGGTAGTTTCACTGCCTGCTGTGCAAGCAAAAGGACCTGAGTTTGATCCCTGGTACCAAAAAAACCCCAAGAAAACAGAGGTAGTAGCAGCAGGGGTTCAAGTCCAAGTTTGCCTGGTTCCAAAGGTTGATGCTTTTTCATTGTGTCTCCCTCCCTGATAATGCTTCTAGACTAGGACTTTTTTGCTTAACTATTGTATCATTGTCATCATCACCTTCATGTTTTCTCTTCAGTGGGTTTGATTCATTGGCTGTGTTCTGTGTAGAAACCATGTTGGTGGTAATAAGAATATTTTTGGGTCCAATCATTGAAGGATTAATTAGAACATTTTGAACTGCAGTAGTTGAAGGAACTGGTTTGACAGATGTGGACTGAGAAGATGGAATCTGCATGGTAAATCTTTGGCTTGTCACTGACACTGGAGTTGCCACTTTATTTGAGACAGACACTGTTTATGGGGCTGCTATAGTAGGAGTGGTAGGTCTGCTACTAACAGCACCAACACTTAACCAGGGAACTAGTGGTCCTTGATTAGGTCCCTTTTTTAATAAGGACTTCAGCTTATAGTTTGGAGCTCTTAAGCAGTATCTATCAGGTGGTAGTCTAGGTCCCACATATGGTTTAATCAGTGGCAGAGGTATTTGATTTTTCTGCCTTGCAATATCCAGTAAAAAAATCTCTTAGGGGAGGAGAGGTAAAAGACTGGTCAGCATGACACTGGATTGCCAGTCTGACATCATCTGCATCAACATTAGGTTTCTTAGCATGGCCTGAATAAATTTTTGCATCATCCAGAATTGTAGCCACAAACCGGAACACAAATTCAATATTTGATTTATAACCTTTGGTTCATACTCTGTGATTCCCATATCCTTTGGGATCTGTACCATCACCAATGCATCTCTTGGAGCGTTCTTGAGAGGTACCATCTCGCCGGACTCTAAATGGAGTTTTTAATATCCTGGAAATCTGTTTGCATCTGTTTTATGTATTCCATTTGTTTCCTATGTTGGGATTCCATCAGGTTCCTCAGCTCCTCTCTAGATTTATTAATCATGTCTTGAACTATGAACACAGTCTGCTGTTATCTGAGAAATTATTTCTGATTTCATTTTTTCCAGTTCCTCTTTTGTTGCCAGTTCAGGGAGTCCAGGTCATTGAGTACCAGAGTGTTCTATCTCGTTTCCCTTTGGGGTTGCTGTAGGTGATCTAGAAATCTGGTTTTGAGATTTTTGTATGTGTCTTCTCATTTTGATGGGGTGGGGGTGGGGTGGGGTGGTGCTGGTGCCCATGGGGCTCACCTCCTCTGTGCTGGGAGTGGTTGAATGGCAGGCTGGAAGCCCCTTCCTCTGCACTGAGAGTGGTGGATCCAGGGGCGGAAGCCCCTCCTCTGCACTGGCAGCGGTGGAACGGGGCCCAGAAGCCCCTTCCTCTGCACTAGGAGCCATGGAACAGCAGCCTGGAAGCCCCTTCCTCTGTGCTGGGAGCTGTGGAATGGTGGCCTGCAAGCCTCTTCCTCTGCTCTGGGAGCAGTGGTACAGCGGCCTGGGATGGCAGCCCGGGAGCCCCTTCCTCTGTGCCGCGAGTGGTGGAATGGTGGCCCGGAAGCCCCTTTCTCTCTGCAACCAGTGGAACCAGGAACAATAGTGTTTTGCTCATTGTTTCAGAGGGAGCAAATCTGGAAAAAGAGCAGATGATCATAAGGGAGAAAACCCAGAAACACTTGGATGACTATGCCAAACGAGGATTACGTACTTTATGTATAGCAAAGAAGGTGAGGCTTCTTAGTACACCTTTGTCTTTTTTTATTCCTCCCCTTGTTTAACCATTTAATGGAAAAACTGCCATGTATCAAACCCTAATCCAAGTATTGGGGAAAGTCCTTAAATTACTGTCTCTTTCCTAGCCTCTCCATTCCACGCACTAGTTGGTTGAATCCTGTTCCCAGTGTTTTGCCAGGAGACATGTCCACTGAGTGCTCACACATTTCAGTATATCTGCAAGGGCTTTCGTATATAAAAAGTTGTTTATCCTGGGTCAAAATCCTGGACCTGGCTTCCTTTGCAACTATCTACTCTATGTTATAGCATTAAATGTGCTTTGGAAAGAATGAGGTCGGAGACCAGCTTTTTCTTTCATAGGTTCTTGATAGTTTTTTTTTTCTTTAGTGACCATAAATATCAGAATCCAGGTAAATTTACTAGATTTCAATCTCATTACTAGTTATTATCCATTGAGAATAATATTGGGAAATAATATATCCTTTCTGAATAAAAATTTATTGAGAAAGAACTCCAAGAAATAATTTGAGGGATGTTATTACGGAAATATATTTCCTACCCCAATTCTAGTCTTTAGGGGCTATTTTAGGGAAACCAAAATCTTATGTAGACCCCAAAGAACTCACCCAATCAACTGCTTAAAGGATCATAACTTACACACAGTTGTAGGAACAATAAAGCATTCAAGACCACACCAATTCTCTTCTTTATTAGTTCAATGATCCTGTCTCTGATTAAAGAAGGCAGGGGGAGGCCCAATCAATGTCAATCTCTCTCAAATTACTTTGTGGGCAAGAACGGAGAGAAAGCAATTGCCTCACTCCTTCCACTCTACCCTGCTTTGTAAGAACTGAAAGGTAGATTTATCCCTTACAACAATTAATGACAAAGGTTCCTTGTCTGAGGATTCCACTTAAATTTTGTTGGGAATAAAGCTTCCTTGCTTTGCTCATATGGCCTCTTATTTTCACTTGTACAAATGATTCTCTATATCTACTAACCATCAAAGACATCAAAGGTGATATTGGCTACAGAATCCCTCAAATTGAAAGGTACTGCCCATACTTCCTTAACTGCACTGTTAGAATCACTCTGGATTTAACTACCAAGTGCAGGCTTGTCCTTACTGCATCCTCCTTAGTTTAGTTAAGTAGAATAAACAACTTTCACTATCAATAGTACCTAGCATTTCCCAGAGGAACTGAGCTATAGTGTTGCTCCCTCACCAGTGCTATAGTAGTCTCATCTCAGAGTTTGGAAAGTTTGTGAGCAGAACCTATGGAGCTAGCAAGATTGTGCCCAGAAGGAAGAATATCTGAATCAAGTTGATGGCTTGATATTTGCCAGAGGTCAGTCCTGGTAGGATTCTACGAGATCAAATGACTTGTCTCCTAGTTCTCTTTTCTTCCTCTCATAGGTCATGAGTGACACTGAATATGCAGAGTGGCTGAGGAATCATTTTTTGGCTGAAACCAGCATTGACAACAGGGAAGAATTACTAATTGAATCTGCCATGAGACTGGAGAACAAACTAACATTGCTTGGTAAGTAGAGTGTGCTGTATCTCCTAAACAGGGAATTTGGAAATGCACTGGTTGTCTCTAAATATATTATTCACCAGTGCTTTTTACCCCCAGTTTGAGCTAATAAATATATGTGGTTCTGCCTAGCCTATCCATTCCAATCTATACACAGCTTCTTCCAATCCATTCTATTTTGTTTTCCTCTGTAATGAACCAGACTTCATTTGTGGTGTTCATTGTTAAGAAGATCCTATAAACATCAACACCTAATACAGACTTTACAGCCAAATAAGTATCTTCCTGGTTTAAGAGAACAAATTTAAAGTATCTTACCAGGTATTGCACAATGTACTTAATATGCATTGTCTCTTCAAATTCTCACAATAAATGTCCATCTTATTTAGAAGAAACAGGCCACCGAGAAGTTCAGTGACTTTCTTAAATTCACCTGCTAGTAACTAACACTTAGTAACTAACTAACCAAACATGATACTCAGGTCTACCCAGATCTAGGGTCCGTGTTCTGCACCTTTAACTGGTCTAAGAAAAATCCATTTCTCTTCTCTGACTTTCAACCCGAGTTCACAACTGACATCTGTTATGATGGGCTGAGCTGCATTCTGGAATCATCTGAAAAGCTTTAAATGATACTGATGCCTGCATTCTATCCCCAGGGATTCTGATTCGCTTGGTCTGTTGTATGGCCTGGGCACTGGAATTGTTAAAAGTTTCCAAAGTAATTCTAAGGGTAGTCATGCTTGAAAACGACCACTTTAAATATGGATACATACATTCTAATAAAAGCACTCACATACCAAAAGACCAGCTTCTGAGCTCCAGCCCTTTATTTAGGAGAAAAATAATGATCTCACCTAGTATCTATCAAATAGAATAATGATGCTCCTCCTAAGTAGTTTCTCTATGACTTTGTAAGTAGCACAGGTTCACATTTCCCCATCAGCAATTCCAAAATCAAAAATGCTCCACGGGCTTAATGCCAAAACTCATTTGGCAGCAAAAATCAGGCTTGATTTAATGTAGCACTATTTATAGCATTTGTTAACCTAATTTGCATAAAGTTTGCTAGTTTTCATGTAGAAATATTAGTGTGCTTAATTAACAGGTATTACAAAATAACATAGGTACTATATTACCTTTTCAGAATATGAAAAGCTTTTTAATTCCAAAATACACATGGCCCCAGTTGTTTCAGAAAAGGACTTACATTATGAAAGAACATTGCAAATAGGCATTATATCTTATTGGCAAGAGCATTCTTTAAAAGCCTTTCCTTACCCTTCAGAGTGTCACAGAATTATAAAGTTCATAGGACAAGCTTACACAAATAATTCAATCAGACAATTCAACTTATAGATGAGAAAGCTAGACAAAAGAACAAGTAAGTTTGATAAATTCATCAATCCCTGAAGCTTCCTTCCCAAAACTCACTACCTTGAATAGGACTTTTGTCTGGCTCTTTGTAACTTGTTTAGATCTCTGCAATTTGCTGGAATGGTCTATATAGTTCAGGATTGAACTGGCCAAGGATGAAAATCTGTTATAGACAAGATGAGCTTTAGCTGGCTTTGGTTTCATTTGAGCCTTGTTGCAATTTGGTTATTCTTTTAGGTGCTACTGGCATTGAAGACCGGTTGCAGGAAGGAGTCCCTGAGTCTATAGAAGCTCTTCACAAAGCTGGGATCAAGATCTGGATGCTGACTGGGGATAAGCAGGAGACAGCTGTCAACATAGCTTATGCATGCAAACTACTGGAGCCCAATGACAAGCTCTTTATCCTTAATTCCCAAAGTAAAGTATGTATAATGAGACAAAACCAATCCCTCTGTTTTTCAAAGCTAATGACACATTTGGAATTTAATTTATATAAGGAGAAAGACAAGCTGGTAACCTTTAGTTTATTAATATTTATTCTCTCAGGTGACCTAACTCAGATTTGAGAGAATGCCACAGTTTTTCTAAGGGCTTGATGGAAAATCATAATGAGTCAGAGAAATCAATGCTAAATAAAATCATTACAAGAATGATTCCTTCTTTTAAAATGTGTTTTCCCCTCCACAATGGATTATGCAGGGTTTGACAAGACAACCCAAAATTACAAAATATATCAGGTCTTGAGACAGGAATCTACCTCCCTTTCAAGTGGAGGATGAGTGATAATTTCTATTGGGATCAGGTAAATTAATATTTTTGTTATTTATAAAAAAGATCGCAGTGTAATTATGCCCTCTTGTGGTAATTGTTAAATAGTGCTCCTGCGAACGAAAAAGAAAAAAGTTGTTTTTAAAAAAGAAAGTTTAGGCCCAGCCTTTCTTTCTCCAAAATTTCCTCCCATTAAATTCTATCACCAACATTCCAATGACTTAAATGGGCATTTAGTCCCTCCCCCCCAGAAGATTCCTTGCATAATGATACTCTCCATGATTTGTGCAAATTACTTAATTGTGCTTAGAAAGCTTTCATCCTCCTTCCTCCACAGTGAGACTTAGCCAGTGGCATCATTGCATCAGAGCAGCTTGTCATCTCTGAAATTTTCTGGAATGTCCCTTTGGACATCTCAAACCTGTGTCACAGGCTGCCCCTTTTGGCTGATTGTGCTTTTATGATCAGGACTCCATTAGCAGTAAGCTGGGTCATATATGTTGAGGAAAGCAGAGTTTTCTCTATTCAACACACAATAGGTTCTTCTTTACAGCTGGCTGTGACCTACAATCACTAGCCGGCACCCCATACTGGCAGGGGCTGAGTCCAAGAAAATTCTAATCAAATTAGTCACAAAAAAAAAGATGTAGCCTGAGGGGGTGGTAAAACCAGGGCACAAATGGTTGGCCTGCCTGACCAGGCATGTGACCTTGGTGAGGGACTTCCTCCTATGTCTCTTTCCTTACCTGTGGTATGAGAATGATGCTGGTGTCATGGGAATGTTGTGGGGATTAAGAAAATATAGATTGCTGAAGGGTCCAGAGATAGTGGAAAAAAGGACAAGTAATCAGTTATTAGTGTTTAATTTTGACTTAGAGGGCTTTTTTTAACATGAAAAAGTTTTAATTTAATCTTGATTATAATACCTGGTCATGATTAAACAAACAATACAAAAACTATAAAGAAGGTAAAAGAATAAAATTTTCCCCAAGAGAAAAATCTCTGTTGACACCGTGAGATTCTTTTAGATGGTTCCAGAGTCTGCAGGCACATGAGACCTGACACAGTATTGTATGCCTCAGGGACCTGGAGCTCCTCAGGGACATCAGGGAGAAAGGCTTCTCATACCTGTGATAAGAGACTCTGTGAACTATGTCATGAAGAGCAGGGTGCAGCATGGCCTAGCTCAGTTACATAAAATCACACTTCACATCTCAGGATGATTTTGGCCCCCCACACAGGGATACTTGGCAATCGACAATGTCTGGGGACGTTTTGGTTGTCACACCTGGTATCTAGGAAGTGGGAGCCAAAGATGGTTTTAAATACAGTATCCTACAATGCATCAGACACCCCTCCAGATCAAGAATTATCTGCGCCTAATGTCAATAGTGCCAAGATGGAAAAGCCCTGCTATAGATTGTTTAAATTTCTAGGAAATAAATATTGTAGATAGGAGGGTGAGTCAGTTTGTGTACACTGGCACAATTTGCCTGTTGTTAAACTTTTAAAATTGTTTATATTGGTTTCCTCTTTCTATCTTTCACTCTTTTTTTGCATTTTAATTGATAGCTTTTTACAATTAAACTTACTTGTTAACTGATATCTAAAAACATAACTAGGTGCTATGTGATGTTTCAATACAAGTTTACATTATATAATGTTTAAATCAGGTTAAACATACATATCTTTTCAAATATTTAACATTTCTTTATGGTAGAAACTCAAAATCCCTCCAGATTTTTGAGAGCCACGGTACATATGTTATATGTGCTGACTTAGAAATTCCTGTGAAGAATTTCTGTAAAATCAGTAATGTTATGAAGTTTATTTATAAATATCCAGTTTATGTTGGAAGGCATTTGAAACTACCAATTCAAGAAATATTTACCGAATATCTACCATAGCTAATACTTTTGGTATTAGTAGCTGTTCCACATTGCATTTACATATCTCAGCTGCAGAAATAGGGGTGAGATATGCCTCACTCCTCCGCCCATCCCAGTATTCATGGGAACTCTCTGTGGAAGTCCTGCCTTTGAAAGTAACCAACTGCTCCACGGTTGCTAATTAATGACAATAAAAAATTTAGCCAGCTCTCCAACAGAATCCCATGGCTAAATTTCTTTGCCTCTTGTTTCAAGGATGCCTGTGAGATGCAAATGAGCATAATTTTGAAAGATCTTCAGAAGAAAACTCCAGCTTCTCCAGGGCAAAGATCATTAAGAAAGGGTTCCCCTCAGCCTCCCATCACCCAGAACTCAGGGCAACGGGCTGGACTCATTATCACTGGGAAGACCCTAGAGTTTGCCCTGCAAGAGAGTCTGCAAAGGCAGTTCCTAGAGCTGACTTCTTGGAGCCATGCTGTAGTCTGCTGCCGAGCCACACCCCTGCAGAAGAGCGAGGTGGTTAAATTGGTTCGAAACCATCTCCAGGTGATGACTCTAGCCATTGGTAAGTCAAGTGGAATGAGACCAAGCGCTGTGCTTCTCCCTTTCACACATACTGGAAACTGATCTATCTGTCCTTCCTTCTTTTACAACTAAGTCTGCCTTTTCCCCCCCTCACCACCTTTCTTTCCCCCTTTCCTCCCTCTTTTCTCCCCACAACCCTTTTCTTCTCCCACCTCTTTTCATCTCTTATTTGACCATCTGCAATGAATCAGAGGTTAACAATGTGATATAGGAAACAATATAATAGTCAGGTTCTTTGGGTTACATATCAGATGCTCAAATCAACTAGTTTAAGTAGAGTGAAATACTGAGTAAAAGAACTGAAAACCCCAAGTTTCTACCTTCAGGCAAATTAAATTCAAGTCCATGAATAATTCTCTACTTATGAAGTCCTTATTGAGTGCTTTCTTCTTACTAGATAGCTTTCTGGGGAATGGAGATGAAGGAGTACATAAAAGGGACAAAGTAGCTTTTCTTAAGGAGCTTAGATCTAGTAGGAGGGCATAAATTAAAGATCAAACAAAAACATAAATATGGAAGATATTAGATATTGACAAATGCCAGTGAGAAAGAAAAATAGAGCAAAGAGGATACAAAACATTGAAGGAGTTTGGAAGAAATTGGAGTTTTAAATACAGTTTTCAGTGATCTCCCTTCTAAGGTTGTCTGTGAGCAGAGACTTGAAGGAAATGAAGAAGAACCATGTGAGGTCTGGGGAAGAACATCCCTGGCATATAGGACAACAAAAGTAAAAGCCATGAAGTGGACCATGCTTGGGTGTCTGAGGCCAAAGGAGATTGAGCAAAGGGAAGTTTTCTAAAGGTTAGTAAGGGGTAGAGAGGTGGCAGAGAAGTTTTCTAAAGGTTAGTAAGGGGTAGAGAGGTGGCAGGAGGCCAGATCACAGAAGGTCTTGGAGTCTAGTATAAAGTTTTGGCTTTTATCTGAGGTAGTAGGAAGTTAATGGAAGATGTTAAGCAGAGGTGGAACATGGCCTCCTTTAAATTTAAAGAGATCACATTGCCTGTCTATGAGAGTAACTGTGAGGCTACAAACACATAAGTAAGGACATCAGTTGGGAAGCTGTTGAAATAATTCAAGCAAGAGATGATGGTAGCTTTGGCCGAGACGGGAGCAGAAGAGGTGGTAGGACATGCTAAAACAATGGACATGGTTTGAAGAAATTGCTGCTAACATATCCTGATGATATGACATGACAGAAAGATCTGTCAAAGGGAATACCAAGGTTTTGTATAAGAATAGAAAGGATTCTAGTAAGATATCATTTTGAAAGATCCATTACACTCACTCAGTTGGAAAAGTCTGTTAAATGTGTAAGCAGTGATGTCAAGTAGGCGGCTAGAATAAAAGTCTTGTTAGCAATGAAGAATTAGCTGTAAGAATTAGATATAAACCTGTGAACCATAAGTCTAGTGAATGCCAATACTATATACTATAAGATCACCAAAGAATGAGCATAAACAGAGAAATGGTATGATAAAATTCTGACATAGTTCAGTGTTTAGGTGAAGCAGAATTTTGTTCAATTATCAAGCTGAATAGACATATAAATAAAAGAATTATTCAAGATGCTAGAGCCAGTTGGTATTTAGGCTAAAGTTTCTGGATTTTATATTAATTAAGTTGAGTCATGCCCATCTTTGGAATTATCACTACAGCCAGGGAATAGAAGATGCTGATTTTCTGGTCTGTCATTTTCATGTCCATAAATAGGGGTGTTTGAATTCACTTTAACAAACCACGTGGACACCGAATTCCCAAGACATATCAGGATGCTATTACCAGAAAACAGGTGGATGGTTAGTGGGCCTTTGCAATAAAGCTTATGATTATTAACCAGCAGGCATGTAATACCTCTTTTTAAGAAGCATACCATGTTGAAGGAGACCAAAAACATCTATATGCAACCATAATACCACATGAGAGGTATAATGGAGATATACAAGATGGTATTGGAGCCTTAGAAAAGGGAATATGAGAAGGATTTCCCAGAGAAAATGACACCTAAACTGAGAGCAAGAAAAATTGAAATCCAGCAAGATGAGGTGGAGTGATCAGGGCAGTATTATAAAGAGAGAAATGCCCTGTGGAATAGCTAGAAGGAATAGGCTATGTCTGGAGAACTGAAAGGTAGCATGGGTGGCATAAGAAAGGGAAGGTCATTCTGGCTAGGTGCCACAGCATGAAGAATTTGAAGGCAGTTTTGAATTTGAAATGCTTCCTCATGACAGTGGGATGCCACACTTAATTTCTGCTTAGCTAGCTCCTAGGAATATAGAGAAATATAGAATATAAAGCAATAGGATGAACCTTGAGGAATTTGTTTGTTCACCGGAGCAGCCCTTATTGATTTACATACTTTACATGTTTACTCCTCAGTTGTTTCTCACCTTTCCTTTTGCCTCAATGTAGGTGATGGTGCCAATGACGTTAGTATGATCCAAGTGGCAGACATTGGGATAGGGGTCTTGGGCCAAGAAGGCATGCAGGTGAGCAGATATTTGTGCCCAGGTACATTAAAGATTGCAATCTGAAAGGCTATTTTATGTATGAAGAAATTTCTAGCAGGGAAGGTGGAATATGGGTTTTAGAGTTTCCCAGGAATTCTATATTACAGCATCTTGGTGAATGAAGAGAGATTCAGATACTTCCTTGCCTGACACATTATACAAAGTCATATGAAATCATGACTGCAGTACTTCTTAATATTCTCTATATTGAGAAGAAACAAAAATATTCTGAAGTGCAGAGGACAAGAATTTTTGCTGAGGAACCTGGTTTCTAGGGAAAGTTCATTTGCTAAAATTACATCCTGATTAGTTTCCAAAGAGATCTTCTTTCATAGGACCATATAGGAAAGCAGAGTCGTAGCTCAAGACCACCCATTAAAGTTATGCTAATGGATTTGAGTTTTCTTGTTGTTCTGTGTGTGTTTCCTCTCTTTTGGGGGATCTATTTGTAAAATAAATTTGACTATTTGAGGGTAGCTCTGGCCCAGCTCTCCATGCCAGGCTGCGTCTGTTCTTGCGTATCCCTTCCCTCAGGGTGGCCTTCTCTCCCCTCTGTCTCTGCAGGCTGTGATGGCCAGTGACTTTGCCATTTCTCAGTTCAGACATCTCAGCAAACTCCTTCTTGTCCATGGGCACTGGTGTTACATGCGCCTTTCCAACATGATTCTCTACTTTTTCTACAAGAATGTGGTATGTAACTCCAGAGAATTTGTTATTCCCCCTCCTTTACTTCCCCATCCTGGTCACATCAGGGATAAAGAGAAAGTGTCTTATGCAAAGCTCCTTTTATTTATTGGTATTCTGGGAACAGCCAGGAGCAGTCCTGCTGTCTTACCAGAAATAATCTGAGAATGTGTGTGTATGTTTAAACTGCTGACAGCAAGTTGCTAGGCTTGTCCATCTGCTAACATTTTCTACTCTCTGTGCACGTAAACTCAATTAAGATCTGTCTGGTTCCTTTAAAATCCAATTTTTGACCTTCTATAAAAAAGATTGTGACAAGTAGAATTATGAAATGTTTAATGCTGTCAGCAGAAAATGAAAAGGTTTACTTCCATCTTACTGGTAAAAACAACAACAAAAACCCTACTGTTCCCAAATTGATGTGTCCTGTGGCATATTGAAGAGAGATACAAACCAAAACCAAGGAAAATGTCATTGCCTGTAGCTGGCTGGAACTCACAGGTACAAGAATTTTCTAACCAGCTATGAAATCTATCTGTGCTTGGGAGTTATTCAATGATAACAGATTTTGTTGTGATTATATAACTCCTAAAGGGCAGAATTATATTAGAAGAGGTTCTAATCTTGAGCATCTCATTTAAATTTCAGTTTTCTTGTTTATAAAACCATGTTGATAGCAGGTGGGCTGATTATGTAAGTATATCATGATTTTTGGTCTAATTTATGATTACTCTTTAAAATCTGTATGTAGCATGTTAGTAGTAGACTTAAGTTTATATCATTCTATTGAAATACCTTCTTTAGGAAAAAATTATTGCACCATTTTTAGGATATCCCGATGGGTATTTGTATAATTTAGATCTATGTATGAAGGAATATTTTTTTCCCTGCTGCACAATGAACATTTTAGGAAGCTCTCAATACTTACTAATTTGAATTAGCACTTTTTATCAAAGTTTAATAAAACTCAGATGTCTTACAAAAATATATGAAATGTACAGTTTCTGCCCAAGTGTATGATTCTGGGAAAAGCTGTGGCTTGTAATATAAAATTCTAGCATTTTATGATCTGTGACTTTTAGAAAGGAGCTCCTCTCCCAAAGTTTTTAAAAAACCTTTGTATTTTCCCATCTTTTGTCTGTTGTGATGCAAATCATTCCCACCCCCAGATTAAACCCAATGGTTGAAAAATACAAATATTAGGAAAAGAAGCTACATGCTCTTGGATACAGAGGGTGCTTTAGTTAACCTATTTATGATGAAAGGGTGCAATTTTTTTGCTTGAGATTCATGTATGTTACCTAGAAAACTTGAGGAACAAGAATTTGAAGAGAAATTTTTATAATGTTCCTTCGTTATGTTTCATTCCAAAAATAAAACACTAGGCATGAAGAATTAATAGGGCTCATCACCAGGGAATAAGGACCGGTGAGGTCTTTCTGCTCCATAGGATGGTCATTTATACTGGTATCCTCCACACTTAATTTCTACCTATTTACCTAGATAGACAATGATTATTTTATAAGCTATGAAGGAATGGGCCAAGACCAGAAGCCATTAGACTAGTTTACCATTCTAAGAATGTGGTTTTTGGGTATTGGACAACTTTTGAGATACTGATGAAGACTATGGATTCACACCTCAAAATAATGCCACCAAACCATATGTATCCAAAATGTATACATTTTCAGGCACTGAGCATAATGCATGTCTGAATCTAGCTATGAGATTAAGAAAGTCTTTTGAAAGGCTCATGTCCCTTGTCTTAACATGTCCTAGTATAACGATGATGCCAGTGCTATTTTAATATTTGTCAAATACTTTGAAAGTCATGAATACTTTCTAATGTGATCTAGATATGAAGTTCTGAGGTGTTCTAATACTCATTTTACACGGCAGAAACTAAAATTCAGAAAGGTTAGGAAAGTGGCTTGAAGTCATACAATCATTAGGAAGTATCCCTGGGCTTTACAACAAAACTTTCTGAGCTTAGGTCCAGTGTCCTGTCCTGTGGCCTACCCTGCTTGAGAGCAAAAAGTTTTTGTAACAGTGGGCTAGGCTTGCAACATACTGGAGAAAATCATGCGGGATGCATGTGCTTGGCCTCTGGGGGCAACGAACTATCCATGTTTGTTTCTGTCTGTTCCAGTTTTAGCATGAGCCTTCATGACCTGGGAAAACCCTCAGTCCTAAGCAAACTGGGATGGTTGGCCATTCTGTTGGTACCATCCAATTTCACCACTCAGCAATAATTGCGAACACAGGAAAAATATATATATATATATAAAATGAAGTTTGTGGTGTGCTCACTTGGTGCCAGGAACAGGACTATGTTCTCCTCATCTAGAGCTAAAATGTCTCAATTTGAACACTGACTTTTCCACTACCTTGGAGTAAGTTTCTTAATCTCTCTATGCTTCAGTGTCTTGGTCGCCTCAAAATACCATGACAAAACATCACAGATAGGTGGCTTATAAATGACAGATATTTATTTATCACTGTTTTGGAGGATGGAAATCCAAGATCATTTTTTTGATGAGGACTCTCCTCCCAGTTAAACATTTCTTATGGAGTCCTCAACTGCTAAAGGAAAGCAAGAGCTCTCTGTGGTCCATTTTATAAGGACACTAATCTCATTCATGAAGGTTCTGGCATCATGACCTAATTACTTCCTAATGGCCCCACCTCCTAATATCATCACATTGGGGATTTGGGTTTGGTGTATGAATTTTGAAGGTGAACAAACATCTGGTTTATTGAGCTCAATTTCTTCATATGTAAAATGGGAACAATAATTCCCAGTTGTTATGAAGATTAATGAATTATTTATAAAGCACTTAAATCAGTGCCAGCCCATATAACAAGTAGTCTTTGAAAAACATTTTCCCAGTGGGGAAAAAAACTGCAATGTCTTCCATTTTGTGACAAAACTGAAAAGACGCTGAGTTCCAGCAGCTCAAAATGATGGCATATGGAAGGAATGGTCAGTGTTCTAATTTCTGTCTCTAAGATCTGAATGTTCCTCCTTGTGTCCCTAGGCCTATGTGAACCTCCTTTTCTGGTACCAGTTCTTTTGTGGATTTTCAGGAACATCCATGACTGACTATTGGGTTTTGATCTTCTTCAACCTCCTCTTCACGTCTGCTCCTCCTGTCATTTATGGTGTTCTGGAAAAAGATGTATCTGCAGACACCCTCATGCAACTGCCTGAACTTTACCAGAGTGGTCAGAAATCAGAGGTAGGTAAAAATCAAAAATTCTTAGACAGATACACATCCATGGGCAAAGCAAGTACATTTTCCAGTCAGCCCAGCCCAAATATTGCAGCATATGCAGAACTATTTAAAACTTTTTGAAATATCAGGTTGTTTTCCAAGATCTGTATTCACATGGCAGATACTAAGTTACTGGCTTCCTATAGGGACACAGATAAATCTGTGAAAGGTTCTATGTGCTTATAAGAAAAACCCAGTGTTTGAAACCTTACAACTGTCTCTGCATTTACTACATCCCACAATGCTGCCTGTTCGGCTAATTAGTAAACATTCTGTCTCATTTATCCTTAAGAAAACACTTTGAGATAGAATCATGTATTGTTCCTATTCTAAAGTGAGGGATCTGAACCTCAGAGGAATCAAGTAATTTTCAAAAAATGTCACAGGTAATAAATGATTGAGTCAGGCATTAAACCCACTCAGTCTGATTCCAAAGCCCACATTAAACTCTTCAGGTCCTGCTGTCATCCAAAATAGAAGTGATTTTAATAACTTTCTCTCTAAAATCATGCCCCATCTTCACTGAATTTATCTTTGATAGGCATCAGAGGCATCTACTTCTGATATATTGCTTCAATATTTCTCTCTCTGTGCTTCAGTCACTTGCTCATTGTCTGTTACATGGAGGATTGTAGTAGCCAATTAGGTAAGATAGCTCTCTAAAAACTTTTTCCCTTATACTTCATCTTTTGTAAAATTAATAACCAACATTAATATAGCAGTTATGATCATTTTTGTAATGTTTGGTACTGTTCTAAGTGCATAACATACATAATCCCTAATTTTCAAAATATTCCCGCAAGTAGATGCTGTCATAATCTATACTTTGTAGATGAGGAAAGTCAGGACAGGGAGTTGCCTTTGCCTGCTTACATCACAGACCTAGTGAATGGTGTCATTGAACCTTGGTTTCCAAGTCAATGTTGTCCACCTTTCTACTGAGCAGCAGAAAGAACTTTGATGCTCTCTTTGGACTTTGAGTCCCCCACCAGGGTGTTGAATGGTCAGAAATACAAAGTGCTATCACAAGGACATCATCAGAATCTGAGGGACACAAGTGGACCTGGAGCCTTAGACACCTGTAAGTGGACAGAGTTAAGTGGGTCCATCCAGTCAAATGTTCCAGTGTTGAGAAGATTCGCTGTTAGAGTTTTAACAGTTGTAAGGGAAAAAAAGAAAAAGAAAAAGAAGAGGAGAGGAGAAGAGAACAAAGAAAAGAAAAGAAAAAAACCACCTCAGAATAACTTGATGAAAAAGGGAACTACAGTGGCTTGCATCGTAGCAAAATGCAGGAGTAATGGTGAAAAAAACATTGTCTGAAAATTACCTGGCTTTGACCTATTAGTCTGGTTTGCCATATCCCTTTTTCTCTGTTTACTGTGATGGCTAGAAAGATCATTTTTTTATTGACCAAGCAAGCATGGGACATGTATCATTCTCAAGAACAGAATTGAACCACACAGATAGGATTGAGAAAGAAGGGTCTCTGTAGAAGTACGCAAAAGCCAACATGAGACTCATCCTAAAAAATCCATGTGTTGGGCTCCACTTACTGTTCTAAAGACACAGAGCAGCATATGTCAGGACTAATGTGCTATTCTTAGCCAGGATTTTCATTTGGGTCCTTTGGTGTGTGACCTTGTTAAGTCCTTTAGCTTTCCTGTGGTTCAGTTTATTTATGGATTAAATTAAGGAGGATAGCACATGTAGAATTTCCAGCCACATTAAGCTCTCAATAAGTTCAATGATAACTTTTGTCATTCTAGTTTTATTTTTACTCAAACCAACTTTCTGGAATGGAGAATGATTTAGTGCCTTTAGCTACCAGAAACAGCCAACACAGAAAAGCTACATATTCAGTTTGCAGGAAGAAGAAATCCTTATAACCCTTTAATAATATACAACCCATTCACATAGAGAAACTACAGGGAATCTAGTCTGGTTTAAAGTTCAAGATGCAGAAATGTGTGCTTGATATCACTGAAGGTTTCCAACTCCACTGAGGAAAGGGGGGTAGAGGAGAGATTTTTTCAGTCAAATATTTTTTATTGCTAATGTTTTAAAAGCCCATTTGTATACACTAAAGATGCCAATTTTTCTTATTTTCAGGAAGATGAAATCATTATTTCCTGCAGTTAACCCCTGTTATCATTTCTTTGTACACATTATTCTATTGAGCTAGCCAGTTTTATAAAACATGATAATAGTGGGCAGATTCCCAGCCTCTAACTATTGACTTTACCTTCCAGTGTTTATCCTTTCTTTGAACTTGGCCTCCAAGAAAATTCTATTTTATGCTAGGTCATTTTCTGTCTTTGGTGCCATAGAATGTACTCTCTAGGGCTATAGCATCTCTCCCTGCCTGCAGGAGGTGGGTCTGGAAGTCAGAAGATTCCTTTCCAAGAAGCAATAACCTATTAACTGTCTCTCTTCACCCACACAGTCTTTTTTTCTGGCTTTTACTTAATGTTCACATTTTTCCTTTCAGTTTCCAGGATATCTCATAACTTGATTCTTTTCTTGACTTTTATCTTGTCCTCAATCCATCTCTTTTTACTTCTATAAGCCCTCTTATGCAGGAGAGTATGGGGAAATTGTACATTTTACCTTTTCAACATAGCTTGTCAGCAACCTCTGTACCCTCAGACATATGAACTTGTATTTTAACTTATCTCCAAATCATTGTTTCTTGTCCACGGACTTTGATGGCCTCTTTGTCTCTGACATATTCTCTTCCACTATTGGGCCATGCATTGCTCAGGTTTTATGGACACTCAGATGAAGAGAGAATATTCCATCATCATTTCCAATTAGGAAATATGTAGTAAAAGAAGCCACAGGGAAAAATAGACTGGAAACAATGAATTTTCATTGCTTTGATTTCCTAAAGATCAAAGAGGTAAAAATAAAAAGATGTAAAATTTCTAAGTGTGGTCTTCTGAGAAATGGAAGCACACATATGGAAATTTGTATATTTATAGACCTTTGTTCTTAAGAAACAGTAAGACATTTTCAAAAATGGCAATGTCTGTTTGCTTCTGAAGGAAAACAAGACTAAGGTGAACATGTTAAGAAAAGACAAGACTAGCTCAAGAATATGATATATGTGTTTCCATTTTTGTCTACGGTACACTTCCTTAATAAACTATGGTACTCTTTCCTGCTGGGTCTAAATTCAGCCTCAGAATTCTTCATGCACATTCCCATTCAATCAGCTGGGTCCTGCTTGAGAACCCAGTTTTGGTCATTTGACTTTCTGTGATTTTACTTGGTCTTTCTCTTTCTATGAGCTTTGCGTAGAAAGCAGTTTAGCACATGAGATGTTGAAGAATAGCTTACTAACCCAATAAATATTGGGTTGTTGAATACTTGCTTTGTACTAAACACTGTTTTAATGATTTGAAATAAAATAGTCAAGGTCTCATTCTATGAAGCTTGCATTCAATTGAGATAATCAAAAAATCATCAAGTAAACATATAAAATTATTTCTGGTAGTGATGAGAGCCTGTTAAGCACACGATGGTAGTAAGTGATTTAATGGGAGTAACTTTTTAACTGAGGGAACTATGAGAAGTGATTTTTAACCTAGGATTGGATAGGAAGGAACTAACCATACATGAGGCCCAGAACAAAGAATTTTTGGCAGGGAGAACAGTGCAGTTGAATCCTTGAGGAAAGAATGGGTTGGCGTATGCAGGGAAAATCTGTTGTTAGGTAAGTTACCTTGCTGAGATATTTCATAGGCAGACCATACATGACCTCATAGGTCGTGGAAAGGACCTTAGATTATGTTGAAAACATGGTGGGAAGTCATCCAAGTGACTAAAAAGAGCCAATTTGATAATTAGGAAGATAATATGAACTGATTTATATTTAAGAAAAACATCTAACTGGTATGGGGAGACTAGATTGAGTGTAGGAGAGAGAGTGAAGAAAGCAGTTAGATGGTTACTGCATCATTCCTAAGAGAATTGATAGTAAACTGAAATGAAGGGGGCAATGTAAGAAGAAGTGGGTGGATTTGGAGAAGTTTCGGAATAGGACCTTCTGATCATAAGAAACGAAAATTACTATTGGCCCCAATTCAGGGAGATTTAAAATGGATCCAAAAGAGGCTGATGCTGTAAACCTCAGTGTTAGAGCATGTGCTTAGCACATGTAAGGCCTTGGGCTCAATCCCCAACACCAAAAAGAAAAAGAAAAGAAAAGATTAATGTAACGATAAGGTTAGATTTTAAATGGATACAATGAGTTGAACAAGAGTTCCTTTAAGAACTTTTTTTTTTGCTACATTCAATTGTGAACCCATCTCACTCAGCTCCCCTCATTCTTCCACCACAGATGACAAATCCCTCCTATTTTGTGAGTGAAAGAATGAAGGCAGAGAGTGTGTCTCAAAAAAGCCAAAATATGGGGCCGGTGATTTAGCTCAGTGGTGCTGCTGCCTGCCTTGCAAGAGCAAGGTCCCAAGTTCGATCTCCAGTACCCAAAAAAAGCAAAAATATGTACTGGTTTGTTTTGTTTTTTGACTTTGCTTTGACCCTTATTAATGTTATTCCTCCCCAATATGTGTTTGACTTCCAGGCATACTTACCCCTCACCTTCTGGATCACCTTGTTGGATGCATTTTATCAAAGCCTGATCTGCTTCTTTGTGCCTTACTTTGTAAGTCATTGCTCATGCAATGTATTTGTTATTAATGAATCATTGGAGCTTCTTTGTACTTTGCCTCCAATCCCAGCCTACAGAGGGCAGATTTCTCACATAGTCAGATTGATTATTAATTGACTAAAATATAACCATCTCCCCAAATATGTTAGATAATGGATTAAATTAACACCTAGTTAAGCTCTTTTGGGTTTCTTCTTAACCCTGAGCTACTTAATAATTTTTGTCAATGAATTGAGTAAAATTATAGCTCTGACCATATAATTAAATTAGTCGAAAATCAGAGAGATGAAGTCAGAATATGAAAGCTTTTATTAGTGAGTGTTGGACTAATTCTACCCAGATGACATCCAGATATTAAATTTAAGTTCCTCTTTGTAGTCTCTAGAAAACTATTGTTTTACAGGGTTTATGAAAAAAAACCTGTTTTATAGACAAAGAATGGGACAACTAAGCAAAGAATTTATAAAAATTAATTTTCAAAATTTAGACCAATATCAAGTACAAAGCAACAGTGTATCTCCCTCTCCACATACACATTTTCCCAGAAGAAAACACTTGTTTGATCATGGATGGTAGTTAACAGAAGTACAGTGCTAAGAATAAAAATCACAGTAATTTCAGCCCAAGTTAACAATTTTAAGTCACTTGAATTAGCCTCACTAGAATATTCTGGCTGTGCTGCACTTCCAGAAGAATATAGCCAGGGATTTGGCTTAATGGTTCTGCCACTTGCCTTGCAAGAGCAAAGACCCAAGTTTGATCCCTGGTACCAAAAAAAAAAAAAAAAAAAAAAAAAAAATCACACAAAGAAGAATATAGAAAAGACAACTTGAAGTATATTCAGAGGATGGCAAAAGATTAGAGCATTGTGTCATTTGAGGGATGGTTTAAAGACTTGAAGATGTATAGGTAGGAGAGGAGAAAATATTTACCTAGGAGAGGTGTAACCTTAAAGTAGCTATAATAGCTTCTTCTGAGATTTATTAAGTGGAACAAATTTGATATTTCTTATTTGTTAAAAAGCTAGAAGTATGAGTAAAAGCTTCCAGAAAGATGAATTATTATTCATAATAAAGAGGAATTCCAATGGAAAGTTCAAATATTGGAAGGCTTGTCTATATGAGGCAGGCTGTCTTTTCCAGAAACATTTATTTACCCTAAATGACCAGCTAATAGGAACACTGTGGAAGCAACTCAAGTCTTAGCTGTGCGGGAGATAAAGTGGGATTTACTCATACTACTAAGTGTTCAAGATTCTCCATTCACCTCTTGTCATCCTCTCCTTGTAGACCTACGAGGGCTCAGACATTGACGTCTTCACATTTGGAAACCCCCTGAACACAGCTGCTCTGTTTGTCATCCTCCTCCATCTGATCATTGAAAGCAAAAGTTTGGTGAGTAGTTTTCATGCCTTCGAGATAGCCTGAAACTCTGTATGCATGAGGAAGTGCCTCCTGTTAGTGATAAGCCTGCTAAACCCTTCATGCCCACAAGATAGGCATTGATGAGAAGAGTTCTGACTCTGGAAGATTGCTGACTCATGCTGCTTGTGGGGATCACTGAGTGCCACTATGCTGAGGTGGAGGTATTCCCGGGGACAGTGGAAAGCCCCTGACTGCTCTCCTTATTAGTATCGATGGTGGATAACCATGGAGATGTGAGTCAAGCTGGGAAAATAATTATCCTTCTACAGCCAGCATTTTTCAAGACCAAACTGATGCCTTTCAACTAAAATTAAAAAAAAATGCTGTGCCATAATCTTAGTACATTAACTTTAGTAAGTGATGGTTATATGCCTCTTTCTCCCTCTTTTTTTTTTTTTTTTTTTTTTGTTGTTTATCCTTAAGCAAAATCCTTCAGTCATTTCCCCTTGTATTTGGAATAAACTCTGAAACTCTAAGAAGCCTATAAGGCCTCATACAGTGATGCCCTTACTTGTGTCTCCAAACTCATTTCCACTTACTTGGAAGCTAGAATCACATTATTCCTTTTTTAAACACTCAGATAAATTAAACTTATTGTCACATCTAGGCTGTGGCATATAGCGTATCTTCTAATGAAAATATTTAGTTCCCCCTTGTATCCATGAATTTTACCCAATTCAGTGTTATTTTAGGTTACTTTAAATTTCAACAAAAAATGTGGTTTTCTCCGGGGATTTAGCTCAGTGGTTCTGGTGCGTTCCTCAAAAGTGCAAGGTTCTGAATTCGATCCCCAGTACCAAAAAAAAGAAAAAGGAAAAAAAAAAAAAGGAAAAGAAAACAAAAATGTGGTTTTCTCCTCGAGCCCTACCCTGATCACCTGTTCTTTTGTATTCTTACTTTTATCCATAGCTCTAACAATAATGTATAAGTAGACATTTAATTATGTGATTATCTGATTCTTGTTTGTTTTGTGTACCATATTATAATCTCTGTGAGGATAAGGTTCATGTGTACTTTGTTCACCACTGTATACTAGTGTCAAGGACAAGACTGACACACACTGGGTATTCAAAACACATTTGAATGGACAAAGAAATAACTAACTACTGCTTGGTGTATATTTACTATCATGGTAATGAAGGTTTCAAACAGAACATAGGCCAATGATGTTAGGATATAAAATATATGAGATTACATTATCAAGTTATCTTTAGCAATTTTTAAAGTATGATGGGATATTTAATTTTGGCATCCTTTGCTTTGCTTATACCTAATCATCTATCTTATTAGCCCAAAATTAAATGTGCAAATATCAGATTGGGTGCTAAATGGAATTCTAGAACTGAAATATTTGGTCCTATTTTAATATCTATTCAGTTTTTCAGCAATTGAGAGGTACTTTTAGTTAACACCCAAGGATGTACCTGCCATAGGCTCTGACATTAGTGTTCCAGAGGAGCTAAAACATACAGTGTTGCCAGTCAGTGTTCATGCATTATAAGCAACCACAATCTATTCTAACCTGAGCAAGTAGAAAAATTATGAAACTAAACAAATCAAAACAAAAATTTCCTACAGAGCCAGAGTGTCTCTGGAGAGCTGGGGAGCAGAAACAAATGGATGAGTTGTCAGGAGGCCACTCCAGTCTGACTTGGCTCCAGCCGTGAGCTTTCTCCCCGCTGGGACTCATTGCCTCATTGTGCTCCCAGCCTGGTCCCTGGTGATGAAATCCTATGGCCCTGACCTCAGTCTAGGCTTTGGATAGGGGAGGGGGTATGTTCTCAAGATTGTGCACAATACTCCGCACCCTCTCCAAGAAGAAGGGGAGTGAAAACTAGAAAAACACAACAGCTCAAGAGAAGATCCACTGCTGGAGAATCCTTTCTTATCCCAGAGGACACATGGCCAGAGCTCCTGGCCTCTGATGCTCTAGGCTGTAAAAGTCAGCCATGCTGAGCATGTGAAACTCATTCCCTTCCTGTACCTGCTCACAGCTTCATGGTCACTCCCACTTCCCAGGCTATTTTTACCCACTGTTCTTGACAGTAACTTTTTTATGTTGATTCATTTAAATGTGTACATAAACCCTTTGAAGTCACTTTCTCTCTTGCCAACAGCATATCTTAAAACAAAATAGTTGGAGCCATAGGACTCAGATAAATGGAAGGACATTTGAGAAAAAAGGAAAGAGATCATAGTTCTAGAGGCATGGTGGTCTTAAGGAGTTAGCAAATATTTTCTGAACACTTTGTATCATTTTACCAAAAAATGAGCAGTCTTTGAGATTCTTGTGAAGACATCTACTTTGGGGAAGTACTTTGCAAGATTATGATGAAAAAGGAGAAGATTGGATCTTGTTTAAAAATTGTAGCTCCCAAAATAAAAAAGATTAATAAAGGCAGCATTTCCCTAAAAAGTGTCACGTAAGCCACTAGTAGTATACACTGTGATTTTAGGTGCTATTGCATGCTGCAATGAAAATGAGTACTACATAACATGAAGCTGATCATCTTTTCATACTTCTGATTATGTAAAACAGGAAGTCTGTTTGATGCTGTTATGTTTTATCACAACTTTCACTAATTTCTCTTTATAACAAAGACAGATCAATCCCCAAACTCAGCATTATCATGACAGAAAATGGAAATATATTTATTGTGCTGATCTCTTTCTCTTTCTAAATTGTGCTACTTGAATTAGTGAGCTAGTTTTAAGAAAAATAATGTTGCAAGCTGCATGTGGGTATGTAAGTGACCAGATTATAGTATGACACAGAATGATTTATTTTTTGTTCATATAAAGTTGACTGATGGTCCAGATAGCTCTAGAAGCAATTATCCTCTGAAGGGTGGCTCAGTGACCCAGCTGTGTCTTGTAGCCATACTTCCTGCAACTTCTTGATATGCATGGAAAGAAAGGAGATAGCGGGGGAAACTGCCTATTCCTTCCTACACTCATTTCACTGGTCACAGCCCATCACAGGGCTATGCTTAACTCCAAGGGAGTAATGAGGTGTGAGCCATTCAAAAGCTAAATAAGGGAGAGGAATGAGATTATTGGTGAGCAACCCTGAAGTCTAACATGTGTGTGAATGGCTCAATTTTTGAAGATCACTGGATGGGGTTATCAACTTAATGAAGAAACAGACTAATGAATGGCTATATAAATAAAATTATAAAGTAAATCTGAATACCTCCTGGTTCATGGACAATACAGGATAAGCTGTCAACAGGATTACTTTTTGTCCCTTGATTTAGTTTCACAGAATTCGAACAGTACCATAAGCTATTTGTCCAAGATCCTTTCTCTTATTTCTTCTGTGTTTTGCTTCCTGAAGTTTGTTGTTCAGTTTGCTAAGGGCTTGGATGTGTTGCCTCTTCAATGGAGCAGGTTTTGTTGGCTACAGTACCCCATCACTGAGTGCTCATTTCCCTGCCTTTCTTGTCTTGCAGACATGGATCCACATGCTAGTGATTGTTGGCAGCATCTTGTCTTATTTTTTCTTTGCCTTGGCCTTTGGAGCCATGTGTGTAACATGCAATCCTCCATCCAACCCCTACTGGATTATGCAAGAGCACATGCTGGATCCAGTGTTCTACTTAGTGTGTACCCTCACAACCTGTATTGCCCTTCTGCCCAGGTATGGTATTTATTTTGTCCTCAAGACAGCAAGTGAAATCATAGGTATAGAGTCCTTGAAGAAACACTAGGAAGGGATGGCAGACTACTGTTTCCTAGTGGGCAAGTCAGTCTTTGTACTGAGTAAAATATGGGTTTTAACTCTTTCACCAGAGAGGGAAGAAAGAGAGAGACTTAAACAAACTAGAAGGTCTGTATCGCTCTTATGAAAAATTCTAATCTTTTGACAGTTCACAGAGATAGGGAAACTTTGTTTCATAAAATCATCCAAGGACCTAGATGCCGTTCTCTATCTTTTTGCCAGGTCATCTACTAAATCCTTATCTTGGTGTGTCTTTTATTGTACAACAGAGTGTCACAGTCCAGGTAACTTACAAACAGAAATGTATTGGCTTCCAGTTCCGGAGTCTGGAAAGTTGAAGATCAAGGCATCAATAGGCTTAGTGATTCTCATTCCAAGAAGCCCTCTTAAATTTACATATCCATGGTAGAAAGTAGAAGGGCAACCCAGTCATGGCCTAATCACCTCATAAAGCTCCCACCTCTTAATACTGTTATAATGGCAATTAAACTTCAAGATGAGCTGTAGAGGGGACAAGCATTCAAACCTTAGCAGAATTCATCTGCATTGTTGAAGATGGTTCCTCATTAGTACACCCCTGCCCACAGGAAGGGGAAAGAGAACATAGAGAGCAGATTATCTTTTTTTTTTCTCTTTTGGAAATGGTATGACTCAGAACTTAAGTACATAAATGCTGAGTGGCTAAAATCTGGAGGTTTCTAAAAGGAAGAAGGGGAGAATAGATGCTAAATTACAAGCAGCAATCTGTCCTACTACCTGGAAACACTGAATACCTTAAAGCTTCCTTCCATGGCTGACACAGTTATTCTCCCCTCTTTAGTTTAATCTGATTTCTAATATTATATGGGATGGAAATGACTAAGAAAGTGTGAATTTTTAACATATAGAATCTTGAACACAGAGCTTTTCCTCTCTATAGTTTTATAAAATGTGTTTAGCTGAAAACACTGTAAAATTGTTATTACCTTTTCACAGCATGATATAAGAATCAAAATGGAGAGTTCATCTTATTCTCTAATAAGAGTTGACAAACTGTAGCTCACAGGCCAAATCTGGTGTGTTACTTGTATTTGTAAATAAAGTTTTATTAGCATAGCCATGCTCATTGATTTTACATATCATCTGTGGCCACTTTTGCACTAGAGTAGCAGAGTCATGTAGTTTCAACAGAGACTGTCTGGCTTCCCAAACCTAAGTTATTACTGTCTGGCCCTTTACAGAAAAAGTTTGCCAACCTCAGTTTGTAACAGGATCAGAAAGTACAATGAGTACAAAACCTTTGATGCTAGTGCATGTCTTTTCTAGAAATGTGTAAGAAAATCCATCTGAGTCACTCTGTGATGGCTGCGGTTGTATACTTAGCAACACCACCATTACACTGAGATGCCTCTGTTTCGCTCCTTGCTATTACCTGTTGTCAAATTAAAAATCGGCGTGTATTTTTGTAGAATTTCTGAAGAAATAATTACTTGAAATTTATATCTTTAAAAAAATTTGACCATCAGCAGCCTATTTCTTCTAATATTGCCAAGGTAGGCTGATAAGTGACCCTCTCTCTAAAAGATACGTGTGCCCTAATCTGTATAACCTGTGAATTTTATCTTCTGTGACAAAAAAGGGATTTTTGCAGATGTGATTAAATTGTAGATCTTGAGGCAAGTTCATTACCCTCAATTATCCAGCTGGTTCCTAAATACAATCCCAAGTGTCCTTATGAGGGAAAAGGAAGATTTGACACGGGAAGAAAAAGCACTATTCCTGGAAGAAGCAAGGACTGGGCTGTCTCCTTGGGCTTCCAGAGAGAGAGACTGAGCTTTCTGACACTTTCATTTTGTCAGGTAAAAGGGCCGAAGACCAAGACCAGACCAGGCCACAACAAGCCTTTATTAGGGGAATAGATCTGCCGGGCTGTCTCTGAACAAAGGAGAGACAAAGCAATATGGCTGGGGCAGGGAGAGTCTTTTATAGAGACTGGGGTGGGGTTTGTAGGGGCAGAGGTGGGGTTGAGTGAGGTAGTGACTAGGGAATGGAGGAGCTCATGATGTCACTAGGTGGTAGGAGGTGAGCGAGTATTAGGTTACTTTCTAGGTGGGAACAGGGGCATGCTGGGAAGAAGGGTTTATTCTTTGGTGGGAGCAACCATCTTGGCATGACATCACACAGGGGAGGGGGCAAGGCACCATAGGAAGAGGGCAGCTACTATACATAATAGCTGCTGAGGTGGTGGGAGACCTATCACATTTCAGCCTGTGAAACTGCCTTCCGAATTCTTGGCCTCCACAACTGTGAAAGAGTATGTTTTTGTTGTTCTACGCTTACCAAGCTCCTGATTTGTTTCAGCAGCCATAGAAAAATGATAGAGAATCTGAACGCTGCTAGAGAAGATAATTGTGGAAATGGCTTTTAAAGTTGGATAGTGGGCAGAAGCTGGAAGAGTTTTGATACACATGATAGGAAAATCCTAGACCTCCTTTATCAGACTGCTGGTAGAAGTTGAGACTTTATACACAGCAAAGTGGGGAGCACAGTAGAGAAAGCCGATTTCATCTTAGGGAATATATATGTCATAAATAGAATGTTGCTAGAAATATGACTGTTAAAGGCACTGTGGGTGAGAACTCAGAAAAAAATGAAGACTATGTGTTGGAAATTTGAGGAAAGGGCATCTTTGAAATATAGTGACAGAAAGCTGAGCCAGATTATGTTCTACAGTGTTATATAAGCAGGAATTGTAAGCAAATTAACCTAGATATTTGGCTGAGGTGGTTTCTAAGCAAAGTGTTAAAAGTGTAGAATGGTTTATTTTCATTGCTTATAATAAAATGTGAAGGGAAACCAATTGAGAGAATTCTTAGGCTAAACAAAATTAGCTTTAGGAAATTCTCAGCCTATCCAGATTGTAAAAGTTGCTCAATTTAGGAGATTGATAAGAATGTGTTCTGGAGAAGGCCACAAGTATAGATGGACAGCATTTTTGCAAAGTGTTAGAAAATTAGGTGTGTGACTCGTGGGTTCCCTTAACTGTTTCAGCAGCACTGGGGAAAAATCTGTGGGTGGCCCTCATAACTAATGGATTAAAGCTCATGACATTCATAGGGGTCTCATGAACTTTTTGAGAATGTTATATGGGTAGAAAAACTACCAGCTTGTCCTAAAAGAAGCAGTATTGAGGTAACTTGTTACAGTAGCCAGAGAAACTAATGCAAGCACTTTCTGAATTCTTGTTAAGTGTCAACACTCTGCTTGATTTCTGGGTTTTATCTCATTTAACCAAACATTAAGCCTATAATGTAGCAACTATTGATACCTCTCCTTTTACAGACTATTTTTATTTACCAAGAACTTATAGGGCACAAGTGCTTTACAAATATTTATTTAATACTATTTTTATCTGCATTTTATAGTTCACTGACCCTATTCCTTGACATCAGGAGCCAAGTGGCCACTCCATTCTTTCACTTTTCCTAACTGATATTTTTGTGGATCCTATTGTGCATTGAGCTAAATTTAATTTTGTGATGTTTTCTGTAACCTAGGTTTACATATCGAGTTCTTCAAGGATCCCTGTTTCCATCTCTAATTCTGAGAGCTAAGCACTTGGACAGACTGACAACAGAGGAAAGGGCTGAAGCTCTTAAGAAGTGGAGAGGGGCTAGAAGGAAGAACCAAGTGACATCCAAGTATGCCGACCAATCCACTGGCAAATCAGGAAGAAGATCTGTGTCTGGACCTTCTGCTCATGCAATGAAGTCAGCAACTTCCTGTGCTGCTAAGCAAGGAGACTTGCCTCTATGTGAAACTGCTTTAGACCTACACTACTCTGCAGCTGAGGTCTCAGACGTGACTGGACCCTAAAATGTGAAGAAGGCAGACTATTCATTCCCCTGTTGAGATGCAACTGTTCTTTCAAGTTCAGAAGGATTTTGAAGAAGCACCTCTATCAAGCAAAGATGACTTACATTTTTCCTTAAGGTGTATGAGCATCTTACTAGGCTTGCGAAGCTGACATAATGACCATTACTGTATGTTTGTATGTACGGTTGTAAAAGAAGAATGAGATTTGACCTAAATAGAGTGAGAAAAGTCAGATATTTGAATCAGAATCAAATGCTGTTATGAAACATTTTTGGATTTTATAAAAGCATTTTAGTTGACTTAGAAATGCAAACATTATCACAGGGATTCATTTGAGATTTATTTATTTTACTGGGAGCTCTCATATTCTTGGGAAGTACTTTAAGAAAGCAGGTTCCAGTTTGAATTTTTAAAAATTAGCACACCTGTAATCTCAGGGCTCAGGAGGCTGAAGCAGGAAGACCATGAGTTTGAGGCCAGTTTGGGCTGCATAACAAGGTGCTGTCTCAAAAACAAACAAATAAATGTTTTAATTAAGAAAAAACTAGATTGAGAAATTAGGACTAAAAGAAAATTTCCATATGAATATATCTTATAAATGGTTAATTTACAGGTGAATTCCAAAGAGCCTCTTCAACAACAGTGGTAAAATATGGTAATGAGTGAACTCTTTCAAATGTAGTTAGTGATTATCAATAGCTTTTTATTTCCTCTGGAAAGATACCTTTGGTCTCCTGACTGAAGATCTTAAGCATACCTCTGTTCATTCCAGTGTTTTCCTGAAGTGGAGCCTTAGGAAGGGAGGGGCGAAGGGATGCTTCTGCTCCCTCAGGTACCCGGGATTGTTTCTCTCTCATCTGTTGTTTAAGAGAAGAGGCGTCATGAGGTCTCCCTCTGTGCAGATGCGGTCAGTTGGGAAACAGAAGCCATAGGGAAGGCAGACAGAATCAGCTGAGCCTACCACCCCATTCATTAGGCAATTTCCTGAATGCTTCAACAAACAATAGCCACCTGAAAATGAGACAACTTCAAAGCAATCTTCCAGAGACTACTTAAGGGTTTCCTAGTCTTTGCAATACCCAATAACTTTTCTGGTGTTGTAGCCTTTGAAAAAGTGAAATATGGATTGAAAGTAATACAGATTTTTCTCAGGGGGATTTTCTTGATGTTCTTAGAAAAACTTGTTTTTTAGTGTATTTGACAGGAATGTCTATAACAAGTTTACAGCTGTTACAAATCATATATGCTGGCTTTGGTTGGGACCAAAAACTATTCTATACCAAGTAAAGCCACATGCTATAATAAAATCAAATACTCGTGTTGAAGTTTTTAAAAATTCTATCAGAAAGTTGTTACCATTCACCAGTCATGGAGAATCCCATTCCTGAAACACCATGCTCATGTCCAGTGTCTGCATGAGGGTCTCGTTCCTATTAACAGTTATTCTCAGGGTTTAATCTTGAACCTGCTGCCTACTATCCTGGTCCAATGTTGTTTTTATACTCTTGTATTATTACTGAAAATCATCTTTTATACTGACTGATTTTTAGAATTTTTAAAATCCCACATGGCTAATGGAAGTACCTTTTGCTTCCTTAAGATTTTTTTTAATAAACTATTTAATAAATAGTGTGGACTGAAAAGTTGTCATCACTCCTGTAAATACGGACTGAATCCAATTGTAAGTGGTCCCAGAATTTAGAAGGAAAAGTAGTGAAGCACAGCATTTACAGAATATTATTTTGGCCTTTTTTAATATAGAAAAATCATTGACGTCATATCATGTGTTATCCTTATAGCAGCTGGAATGTATTCTCTGAGATCATCATGTCCCGATAAATAAAAATTTAGAGGTATAATTCCCTGTAAATAAAAGATTATATGCTGCCATCCCAAGCTCCTAGGGCAGAGAAGGTGAGCCGCATGGGCACCAGAAGC